TAAGGGCTCACATATGAGAATTCTGCTGATAAGGCCAAATGTGGGAACGCTCTTTATCCCTTGCATTGTAAACTATTTTTGAGACCCAGCTTGTGTTTGTGCTGAAGGAACATTTTGGTTCCTTTAATATATATATATATATATATATATTTTTTTTTTCCTGGTGCCTAGTACCTAGATTCACACAGTACTCAAACAAATAGTGATGCATAAATAAACCATTTTAAATTAAGCAAAACAATAAGTCAGGTTTTGGAATGTTATATATATGTAGGATATCCACCTGCATAATATATATCTCTATGACATACAGACTTTTCTTTTCTATCCATTGCATATAATAAACTCAAACCTATTCTTTAGTTTATTTAATGAAAATGACATAGGAAAATAACAGGTAATCCCACTTCCAGAATGAAACACATAAAATAGCTTGGCAGGCAGGATGGCTGGGTTTCAGTGTATATTGTTGTTGGCTGCTGGTCATAAATGTTTGGTGACTATGAGGTAGCTTTTGCTGAGGTTTGCTGCATCCTGGACTGTTTTCAGACAGTTGTCAAGTGTGACTGATAAATTTGATTTATTTCCTCTTTTTAAAAAATAGCTTGAGTGGATGTTGATAACTACATTGAAATTGTGTAGTTAATTTTCTATTTTATTAGGGCTGTGAAGCTCACCATTTTTTGGTTTCCCAGGAATGTGTGCCTTCCAGCCAATCTCAGGCACATCGCCCCCAAATGATGCCTTTGGGTCCTCAAAAGGGAAGTGGTCTTTCAGCTCTATCAATCACGCATGTTTACTACGCAAGGTGATTAAAGTGATGGCGAACATTCATGAAAACAATTGGAAAGCCTCCAACTTCTATTTTATTTTATCTAAGGGATCAACTTATATTATTTCATGAATGAAGCGAAACTTTGGACTGAAGATAAACTAATTTAATGCAACTCTAAGCAGCTACAATACTTGATTGAAGGCATCTGGAAGGCTCTAAAACATCTTTTAATAAATAGCTGATAGACAGTTGCTTTTTTGGCTATGAGCAGATTAATGCAGCTAAAATGCAATTTATATTTTGTATTTTGGGGCACTCAGAAAATAGGCCTGATGTGAGGTCTATGTTCAGGCTGGCATTTAAATTTAAAGCTATTGTGTATACCTCTCTGGGATACTGTTGTTCTGGGATGGAAATTTAAAGGCAAAATGATTGTATGACAAGGATTCTGATTTACAGGGTAAAGATGTGCATTTATATGCAGCTGATGAAAATCATTTCCTAATAAATGTGTCTGTTTATGAACAGAGACATGTGTCCAGCTCTGGTATCAGGAAACCCTTTCAGCGGTGAGTTTTGGCAAGCTTTTAAAACAAGCTGATCAAAAAATTCACCTAACAGATGCTTGCACTCAGGTTTTTCCGTGGAGCCAGGTAATAATCAAAGGAATCGGGGTCTGTGTTATTTGAAAGAGCCTTTCAAAAGTTGCTGGGAAGGAATCAAAGTTGTGTTAAGTTGTGTGAAGAGGTTTTTCTGTCTCTTTCAATTTTGCTTTTACTGCATCCTATTTTAAGATAGATTGCAAATAGTGATTTGCAACCTGGCCAATGTGGAGGATTAGATGTTTTCATATAGAATCTTGCTTTGACAGGGAGTTATGTCCCTCTCTTGGAGTCATTTATGCCTGCACCATTTTTCTATTTATTTTTACAGTGATGCGTTAATATTTTTTGAAGTTCCATTTACTCCTTCCTGATTGTTCCCTTATCTGTCCTTTCCCATGCTTAAGCAGTGAGGTTCTCGTGAACTCGTGGCCTCAGTGCAGAAAGCAGAAAATAACGGGAGGATTTCCTGTTGGCTTTGGTTTCTAGGAGCCTAAGATGCTAGGGAGAATAGAGGACTCTTTCTAGAGGGAAAACTTGGGAATATTTGGGGGTTGAGGAGAGACAGCTCTCCTAAAATACTAGACAATATTGGCTAGGGCTCCAGGAAGGGAAGAAGAGGTGTGGATAGAAGTAGAGTGACCAAAAAAAAAAAAAAAAAAAAAAAAAAAAAAAAAAAGAGGAGGGACGGGGGTGACTTTCCTTCTTGGTGACTCTCTACCTTGGTAACTTTGAGAAGGAGCCCTGACTCGTGCTGCCCAGCATCTCCCTAATACACAGATGACTGAGTGGAGGCCCAGATTGAGGGAGCCTCAGAGGACTCTGCAGAGGTTTTGGTGACCTGCCAATATAAAGGAGAACGGCATCATCTGATAAGACAGCCACTTCAGGTGTAGACATTTTGAAGTCTCCAAACAAGGAGATGTGGGTTTATTCTGGCTACAGAGGAGTAGTGCTGCTTCTGGGTGCTCAGAGTGCCTGGGGGATATAGGGGGCTTGCCATTCTCAGGCTGGTCCAGGTAAAAAACCCTCCTGTGTCTTAGAGTCTCATCCTTTTTTTCAGCAGGGCTCTAGCTTTGACTTAGAAGTCAGGCTGCATGTTCAGTCTTTTTTTGCAGTTCTGCTACGTGTTAAATGAAAACCTGGATCTTCTTAGCACCATCTACTTGCCCTATGATTGCTGGAGATGAGTCTCATAAATTGGTGGTTAACTACCCTGAGCCTATATATATTTTTTGAAAAGTTCCAATAGCATCAAGAGAATTCCTCCTGCACTTAGTTCTTACAAATATCATTGTGCCCCCTCAGAACATTATCTCCACCCATGTCTCCACTCTGTCAACCACAGGTGAAGCCTTTGTACTTATGGATCCACTATATACCAGGAGTGACTACTGGGGGACAGAGAGGCCAAGAGGATCCAAGGTGATCCATAAGGCGCATCATCTGAATTGAGAAAAAGAAAGTGAAAATATTTTAGAACAAGTCCAGAAAATGATGTTGGTCTTGGGTTCCTCCAGAAAAGCTTTCAGAAACATGTATTTCAGGGAAAAATTATTATCGTTCTTTTAAAAAATATCTTATTTTCCAAAGTGTCCTTCCTTTTTTAAAGTGATTTTCTTCTTGCAGCCTATCTTTATCTCGTACATACTGCTGGTGTCTGGTGATGGATGAGGTGGAGCCAGATAGTAGCGACTTTCTGCTGAGTTCTCCTTCTCCAGCCTACCAGTCCGTGGCTGGTGGTTTCTGTCTTGGGATCCATCCCTGTGGAGCTGAATCATGGTGCTTTCCTTAATTACTTCTCTTGTCATTGCCAGGTGCTCCCTCTTAGTCCAGCAGACCTGGCTCAGGACTTGGGCTATCTGAGCTCTTTAATAGCACATCCATGCTCAGATCCCCGGAGTCCCTGGCCCTGACTCCTGCAGTTAGGAGCTCCATGCTCTCCTCTCTCCAGAGCTTCAGCTATCCTGTTGAATTTTTTCCTTTATATGATTGTCCCTATTCTTTGATATCTTGAGGCATTATTAATTTTCTACCTTTTTAAATAAGCTTTTCACTGTAAAACGAAAGAAAGGAACAGAAAACTATACAAAACTGGCCAACTGTGGTGGCTTGAGCCTATAATGTCAACACTTTGGGAGGCTGAGGATTACCTGAGGTCAGTAGATTGAGACCAGCCTGGGTAACACAGTGAGACCCTGCCTCTAAAAAATAAGAATAAAATAACCAGCTGGGGCATGGTGGCATACACCTGTAATCTCAGCTACTCGAGAGGCTGAGAGTATCGCTTGAGCCCAGGAGGTAGAGGCTGCAGTGAGCTATGATCATGCCACTGCACTCCAGCCTGGGCAACACTGGAAGACCCTGTCTCAAAAAAAAAAAAAAAAAAAGGAAACTACACAAAAAGTGCATAGGTTAATTTATGACTATGTGGCAAGCACCCTTGTAAATATCACCCCATCATAAGAAAGAACATTGGCTGACACTGTAGAAGCCCCTTCATGTGCCCCATCCTAGTCATATCCCTTCTATCTTGCTGTGTGCCCACTATGTTAACTTTTATAGCAATTTCTGTGTAGTTCTGTCCCTAAGATATGTATCCCTAGACACTATGGGTTCTGCCTAATTGTATAGTTGGATCTTTTAAAGGCTTTTAATGTACAACATTCTCCTCCATTCCTTTATGCTGCTGTTACTGTTGTTTACAATTTATCTGTTGAAAAAGCTAGGGCATTGGACCTGTTGAATTTCTCAAAGTGATTTGGACATTTGTGATTGCTTATTCATGGTACAGCTGAATATTTTCCTGTGTTCTCTGTATTTCCTGCAGCTGGATATAGAGGCTTGACCAGACTTACAGTCAGTTTGTTGGCAGCATGAGGCAGTGTTGAGTTCTTTTCTCAGGAGCCATAATGGTAACTGAGTTGCACGCATTTTGTGATGTTAGCAGCTGTTGGCGTGCAATGCCTAGATCTGTTAAATCATTGGAAGTTGCAAAATGGTGATATTCTGACTCTATCATGTTGTTTGCATTTATTAGCTGTAATAATGTTATTAGGTGTCAATTCTCATCTACTCTGTGGTTACTCAGTGATGCAATTCCTGTGAGAAAGGGAGGATAGAAGCTTAATTCTTTAGTTTTATTTACCAGTCTTTAAGATAATAGATTGATTTCTTATTATCCTCAGTAAGGGACCAATTAATTTTTAAAAATTTAATCACAAAATCCTGTTTTTAAACAGATAGGTTTCAATCCATTGCAGTTCTTATCATTATAAAACTTCAGTTTGTCCTATTGTGGTCAGTGAGAGTCTCTTCCTATTGGCTTTTGAGTCCTTTTGATACAGAGTAGTCATTGATGGCTTTCTTGATATCTGCTATGGTAAGATCTTTGAGGTTATCTTGTATGTATTCTAGCTCCAGGCTAGAAACTGGCCATTTCTCAAAAATTTATTAGTGTATTTCACTGGGAAATGATATTTCAAGCACATAATCTTGGTGCTAGGGTTGTTCATTGCCATTGGACAACCATTGTTTCCAGGAAATTATGAGGGAAAGAGCTGGAAATTTTTTTAAGGCAAAGTAGTTTACGAGTTCACAGTAATACTTACCTCTATGTGAAATTTTTTTTTTTTTAAGTTGAAAAACCATTTATTTCACCGGAAAGAAAAAAGTGATCCAATGTTCTAGGTCTAGCCTTTGGACCAAAAAGAGACCCGGGGCAGTGAGACTCTCACCAAGGTCATTCCCAAATCCAACAGCCGCAGGAGGCAGGAGGCAGGGAGGAGACAGCACAGCCCCCACCACAGTTTCGGCACACAATGACGCCTGCTGGGAGAACAGAACATGAATGGGAAGCTACAGAAGTATTGAAGGACAGAAGAACAGGAAAACAGGCAGGAGAGGAAAGTAAAGTAAAGGAAGAGAAGGTCTGAACTTAGCAAGGTAAATTAAGGTCCACGGTTCCTGAGGGACTGAACGCACAAAGCCGAGAACGTCCCGGAGATGGGGTACCATGAAGGGTGTATTCTCATGCACAACCGCAGCTCGGAATTTCAGCCCACACACATCCCACCTTGAAACTCTGTGTTATCAAGGCCCCTGATGTCCTCCACTGCATCCTCTGCCTGCTCCATGTGTACGAAGGCATAATCTTTCACGATGTCACATTCAATGACCGGACCATACTCCTCGAACTTGGCTCGAAGCTCCTTATTAGTGCAGGTGGGACTGATGTTGCCCACATGCAACTTTGTTGAGGTTTTGCTCTTATTCTTGCTGGCTTCGACGTTGATGTTCACCCCATGAAGCTTGTAATGGTGTAGGTTGCGTATGGTATCTTCCGCTGCAGTTTTGTCTTCTATGTGCACAAAGCCGTAATTCTTAATGATGTCACATTCCAGCACCTTCCCATACTGCTCGAAAAGAGAGCGGATCTCCTGCTCTGTGGCCTCCCGGGGCAGGTTTCCGATGAACAGCTTCACCATCCTAACAAGAGCCCGCACAGAAATCAGCAGGGCCTCCTCCTCGTGGCGCGGACGCTTCTGACAAAACGCTAAAATGTCTATGTGAAATTTTAATCTCCTTTTCCCACACCAATGATCCACATTCTCCAGAACATTGTAAAGGCTAGAATTATAATTACCCATTTGCTTTGTCTTGCATCAACACCCAACTGTCTCAAAATAATGATACAAAAGCTACCATTATCACCACCAAAATGGTTACCAAAAACAGTTCAGAAAATTTCACTCTGTTGTCCTCAGTCTTTCCCCATTTTTCATGGTTGTGCTGTTTTTCACATGGTCTGAGTATAGTCACTATATGTATGCTCTCTTCCTTTTAACTCCAGGTTAGTTTTTGTGTACAAGTCATGTATTTAATTCTCACCATCAGCCTTAGGTCTGTGTCTCTCTAGTCAGTCACTCTGGTTTTCTGTAACTCATTGTCTGGCAGACTCCTTTGGAAGGGCTCTTGGGAACATCATTCCCTGGCTTCTTACATCCTTAAGTTTGTGTTCTTTATGCTTGAAGGTCAATTTCACTCAATATAATAAACTTGGTCATGGTTTCCTTCCTTGAGTATCTTAAATCAGCAATCCCCAACCGTTTTGGCACTAGGGACTGGTTTCATAGAAGACAATTTTTCTACGAATGGGGTGGGGTGGGAGGGATGGTTTCTGAATGAAACTGTTCCACTTCAGATAATCAGGCATTAAAGTCTCATAAGAAACGTGCAACCTAGATCCCTTGCATGCACAGTTCACAGTAGAGTTTGTACTCCTGTGAGAATCTAATGCTGCCGCTGATCAGACAGGAGGCAGAGCTCAGGCGGTAATGCTCACTCGCTTGTCACTCACCTTCTGCTGTGCAACCTGGTTCCTAGTAGGCCACGGACCAGGGTTGGGGACCCTGTCTTAAATATATTGCTCCATTTTCTACTGGGAAAAAAAAAAGCCTTGCTGTTCAACTCTGATAATGATGTAAATTTATTTACGTTATGTGTCACTTCTATTTTTGCCTATACATCCACGGATTCTTTTCCTTTAAAGTTCAGACATTTTAGTAGATAACATCTTCATGTCAGTTTTCTGAGTCAGTAGTCTCAGGGATGTTAGTTGCTCTTTTCCTATGTCATTTCAAATTTGCATTTTGCAATATTTTCTTGAATTATAGTTTTTGTTACTTGTTGCCCTGTTTGGGATTTCTTTCAGGGATTTCTATTGTCAACATGTTCAATGTTCTTTGCTCATTTAAATACTTGTCAGTTTCTTTCAAATACTTTTTTTTAATTTTAAATTTTCTTCCTTTTTGTAGCTTTTATGTTTCTTGTCATTTTTAATATACTCTCTCCCATATTTTTTCTAGTTTATTCTTTATTTCTAAGATTATTTTCCTTATTTCTTATTGTCTTGAGTTCTGCATTGTGATCTCTGAGTATTTCAGTTTCTGATTTATGTTGTATTTTCCTGTTGTGTGCCATTTCTATGAGTATTTTTTAGCTCTCTTAGAAACAGAAAATTACAGTTTTCAAGCGATTTATAAAAATGTATTTTCTGGCATGCTTTTCTTGTCTGTGGAGATGTTACTCTGTTCCTTCTTGTTTCATTTCTTATAATAAATTTGAGTCAGATTCAAGCATGATCCTTTTCTATTGTTCATTTTTACACGAAGTTAATTTTCCTAAACCATTAGAAGTAGTTGTGTTGAGTAGCATTTTAATCTTACTGACCTCACTGTTGTGTTGTTTTTATGCAGATTTCACAAGATTATGGTCTGCTGGAGATTCTCTTCCCTTTGTTTCTCTTGTCCCTGCCCTTCTCAGGTTGGATTCTGCTTGCGGTGTGAGGGCCCTGCCTTGAAGGGAACCCGGTGTCAGCTCCAAGGGCCAGAGAGCCCCCCTGCCCTTCAGACTGGCAGGAATGTTTGTTGAGTTCAACAAGACTCCTCTTGGTTTCCACTGCTGTCCTCACATGGACCCACTATGCTTTCCAGCACAAGCCCATTGGCTGTTTCCAGGTTCTTCTGTTTCTGGGTCTGCCAGAATCCCCGATGCTTCCACTGCTTCCTCCCATACAGACACTGATACTGCAAACCTTGCAGGTTGCTCTTCACCTGATTTTGCTGTGAATCTGCTGCATGTGTGGTGTTACCACCTGCTCATTCTGTCTGTGTTTTTGAGGAGATGTGGGGACCTTTGGAAACTGTGACACTGCTGTGGTGGCTCCCTCCCCAGATCTTACTGGAACATTACTGAAGGGTGATCATGCATGAATTTAATGAACACAGTCATAGAGGCTTGAGAAAATGGGTCAAACTGCATCCCCAGACAGGCATTGCAATCCATTTTTATCACCTAGTAAAATTAAACCCTCAACGTGGATGATTTTATGGCCCAGGGAACAATGAAAGAGGGCGGTGACCTCGATGTTTGTGTAAATAAGAGCAGCAGCTGGAGGAAGGCAGGGATCTCAGTGTTTGTGTAACTGAGAGCAGCAGCTGGAGGAGGGCAGTGATCTCAGTGTTCATGTGTGTGTGTAAAAAGGATGCACTGTGAAGCCATGTCGGGTCCCAAGGCATCCGTAAACACCACACTTATAGAAAGAAGCAATCATGAAGCACTCTCTCTGCTTGGCACTGTCCTGAGAGTCAGGGATAAAACGATGAAAACAAGTTGTATGCCTTCCGTGCACTCTCAGTCTCAATAGGGAAATTAATTTGGAGACAGAAGAATTCATCAATGTTAAGCAATGGAGGAAACAAGATATTCCTTTTCTTCCAGATTAAAACTGGAAAAATAAATCCACACACCTATATCCTGGGGCCCTCAGCTAGGAATTCCATTAAATCCTTGCTGCGGCTGTATTTCCAGTGTTTCTCTTTGTGTCATGCAAGATTCTTATTGAAGGGGTTAGTGGCCCAGAAATAGACTCCCTCACCACCTTCATTTCTAGCTATTTCCAAAAAGACGTGAAAGGAACCAAAGACTGTAGTCTATAAAAGTGCTACTGACAAATGTTTCTTCTTCTTATCATTGGTTTAGGCCTTCTTGTTTCAGAAAATTAGATGTATGTATGTGTGTGTGTGTGTGTGTGCACACGTGTGTGTTTTAGTAGGAACGGGTTTGGTGACACAGCCTAATAATTATCCATAAGATAATCTTGGAGAATAAGGAGGCATGTCTGGATCCCACCCTGATGGGGGGATTGATCTCAGGCAACTCTTTGGGTGTGCTTTTATGCAGAGAGATGGAATAAACTAAAGAGTTGGTTTGATATCTTGGTGTGGTCATTCAAAATCCAGCCTCTTAGCTACACAAGACTACAGTATGGAGAACAAATATATCCCCACGGACTTTCTTGACAGTGAAAAATGTTCATTTGGGAAAATTTTCAAATTTTCAGCTATTTTAATGTTAAAAGTTAGTGTCGAACTTTGGCATTTGTCCATCTTTTCTCATATTTGTCAATGTAGATATAAACAGGAAGATAGAGCCTGGAGACATACAAGGGACAAGAGAAGAAACCAGAAATAACATGATTGATGATATTCAGGGGGAAAAACCTACTTGGCAGACTCATTTATACGGCTGGGGTACGTGATATGCAGCAGGCCTGCTCAAGAGGCAGCTTTGTTTAAGGAATGAGATTCTATCTGTGTTATCTAATTAGGCAGGTCATACACCATCTGTTTTTGTGAAGCTGGTTGCATTAAAAATCAGCCAGTTTTTTTTTTTTTTTAAATACTCGTTAACCTGTTTCAGGGGAACAAACATCAGGATCAAACATTTAGGGGCAGCTTAGCTTTTCAGAAAAAGTTAATGCTTTAGGCATCCTGTGTGTACTGAATAGAAATAGCTTGGGTGTAGCAGTATACAATCAATCAATAAAATAAGAAACACTTATATATAGCCTTATTTGCTTATTTATAGATTTGTAAATTTCCTCCACAATCTTTTCAAATCAGACAAAAGATAGATGTAGGTGACATTTAGGTGTGGAAGAAGTGGAAGGCGTGATGTAATTTGACAAGATTCAAGATATTAACAAATGAAAACACTTTATAAGATGGTTTTGGCTTTTTCTATTTACAGCATGAGTGTGTGTGCATGTGTGTGTGTGTGCATCTGTTGCCTTAGGCTTGTGGATTCTGCAGGAATCAAGGCATAGGAAATGACTGGAAAAACATTTATAGGCATCGGAATCTGGACCTAGGTTTTAATAATGATGTTTTCTCTTCAGCTGGAAAGCACTGCTTAGCTATCTGGAGCTATTTTTAAGAGCATATAGTTGTACAGTCCTTAAGGCAGTGGGAAACAGCTATTTTACATACAGGAAAAATCCAGATAAGGAGATAGTTACATTAGAAATATGTGTGTCTTGTGTTTTCTCTATGAAAGCACAGCTTCAGTGAGTTTTTTAACAAGTAATTTTCAAATCAACTTTTTATTGGATACCTATATTATGTGCCAGAGACCATCCTGTGTTCTTGAGAGTTACTGATTTGTTCCCTTATGACCACTCTGAAATAGGCCACTCTGCAGAAAGAGAAGGTCAGTGTCAAGGATGTTGCTGTAGAGGTAGGTGTGTTAATGATGTTTCTGAAGCAGAAATGACAAAGTCAGTACTGTAGGTGACGCTTTGCACAATTACTTTGGGATCAACACACCACTGCTCTCGAAATTTTCCTTTGTACGAGGCCCAATAAATTTCCTCCATAACTACATATTATTGCTCAATTATGTTCAACTAATTATGTGGAATCCATTCCATCGCCACACTCGGATATTATAGGAATATCTCTGCAATTACACAGCACAAGTGTTCTGGGAAACATGAGTTAAAGGGAGAAATATTTTATAACAGCAGCAGAGAGAGGTAGAGGAAATTTCTGACCAATTATACTGAAATCAGTTGTCAAATTCTAAGAATTTAAGCTACATGGGGCTAATATTTATTCTTCTTTCCAGCACTTGGGGAGGTTGCAGCAAAGTCCTGTCTTATGCAACCAGGGTAAATATATTGAGTTTAAAATGATTGCACTGCCGTCTAACTGAATATATTATTGGACTCTTAGGCAATCAATTAAAATTGAGTTTAAAATATGTGATGTGGCCGGGCACAGTGGCTCATGCCTGTAATCCCAGCACTTTGGGAGGCCGAGGCAAGCTGGATCACTTGAGGTCAAGATTTTGAGACTAGCCTGGCCAACATAGTGAAACCCTGTCTCTACTAAAAATACAAAAATTAGCCTGGCTTGGTGGCATGCACCTGTGGTCCCAGCCACATGGGAGGCTGAGGCAGGAGAATCTCTTGAACCCAGGAGACGGAGGTTGCAGTTAGCCATGATTGTGTCACTGCACTCCAGCCTGAGTGACAGAGCGGGACTCAGTAGAAAAAAAAAAAAATGTGAGGCAAGACAATCTTTTTAGGGAGTTAGGGCAAGGAATTGGCCTGGAAGCTTTCTGCCAGGAGAGTTTGATTTCTGTGTTATTGCTAAGATGCCTCATTTTTGTTTCTGTGAAGAAGCTTTCCCTAAAGCTCCCTGTGCAAGGCTCAGGGCTGATTTTAAACATGGGAACTGACTTACAGGAGATTCTGGTTTGTTGAAACGGAGCTCCACAAGGGCTGAGAGGGCCCCTCCTCCTGCCCTCAGAGATCCTGCCTGCCTTCTTCACGCTTCGCCTTTGATCTTCCCAGGAAGCTTTGAAGCTGCAGTCATCTTTGATTTTGATGCACTAGTCTGGAGTTATTGTCTGGTTGCTTGGAAAAGGCAAAAAAGCTTCTGTTCTTCTGCGCCTGCTTTTCGTTTATTTAAAAAAGTTTACATGCATTTGTCTCAATGCTCCTCTTTTACACGCAGTGTGACACATCTCACTGGGCAGGCAGTGGGAGCCCCAGGAGGGAAAGGGCAACAGACATGTAAAGAAGTAATCTCGCTGATTCTCTCCTTTCTCCATTCCTACTTTCCTCCCTTGTCACTGTTCCTTTTCTCTTCCGTCTTTCCTCTGTCCTCTTCCTTCTTCTTCTTCATTAAACCAACCAACCAACCAACAAACAAAAAAAAAACCTAGTCAACTTAAAAAACACAGGCGTCAATTCCCACAGTATGTTAGTAAAGTGAAACATTCTATGGTGGTAGGTGACAACCCTGACATGGGACACATGAAAGTTGCTTTTGGAAAATAGCTTCTGACATGAGCACTTGGGGTAACAGACAATCAAGGAAGGCTCTGAGTAGGCTAATGGCGCTATTGAGGCTTTACTCTTCTAACTCATGTGGACTGATGGAACACTGACTTCATTTTTGGAGCAGTAGGAGTTGGAATGCAGGATGACATCAAATAGCCATGGCCAGCATTCTGGGACAGATCATAGTACCCCAACAACATGTTTTTTAAACCCTAACTGTCCACATGAGTTAGGAGAGTCAAGCCTCGATAGTGTTGTCAGCCTACAGGGAGGCTTCCTGTGCTTCCAACACCTGCTTATCAGGCGGAGAGGAAGCACATCTGACAGTGGTGTCTGAAGAAGGCCGGGGCATGGAGGAGAAGGAATAGGCAGAAGCAAAGCCCAGCCCTGTGAGTCCCAGTGGGTGCTAGCCATGCCCTGTCTCAGCTAATGTGTTATTTTCTTGGCTTCTCTCGAAGGATTGTAATACGTTCTCTCTCAGGAACAAAATGATAATATTCTGACTATCCTAGAACAGAGTGATCAGCAAAATGACTCTGTATAGGTCCAGATAGTATTTAGGCTTAAAAATATTTTATATTGAATTATTATGGATAAATATGAATTGTATATATTCATGAGGTACATGTGATATTTTTGTACAAGCATAAGCTGTGTCATAATCATATCAGAGTTATTGGGATATCCATCGCCTCAAGCATTTGTCTTTGTTGAAACTATTCAATGATGTGTTTGTGGCACTGGAGCAGCCATAAGCAGTATGTAGCCAATAGGTATGAATGAGTGCCAATAAAACTTCATCTATAAAAACAGGCATGGGGTCACATTTGGCCTTTGGGCCCTACTTGGTTGATCTGAATAAAAAGAAACCAGGAAAAGAGATTTTTGTTCATGCTCGAAGGTCATGAGATTATTCACAGCTGCAATTATAATAAAATTATTAAAATAATGTTATTACTATGTTACTGTTATAATAAAGTTACTATTGTATTATCTCTTATAATGCCAAGCATGCGCTAGGTATCGTGCTAAGCATTTGACATTTATTATTTACAGAGATGCACGACCATGATCATAATCTAATTTCAGAATATCTTCCTCACCCCAAAAAGAAACCCCATGCTCATTAGCCATGACCCCTCATTCCTCCCTTCTCCCAACCCTGGCAACCACTAACCTATTTTCTGTCTCTGAATTTACTTATTCTGCCCCTCTCCTCGAAATGGAATCATATAATATGTGGTCTTCTGTGTCTGGCTTCTTTCACTGAACATTGTGTTTTCAAGGTTCTCCCTGGCTGTGGTATGGATCCGAATGTCACTTCTTTTTATTAACAAATAATATTCTACTGTATGCTAGACCACATTTTGTTTATTCATTCATCAGTTCATGGACATTTGGGCTGTTTCCACTTCTTGGCTATTATGAATAATGCTGCTATGAACATTTGTGTACAGGTTTTGTGTGGACATGTGCTTTCATTTCTCCTGGGTATAAATCTAGGAGTGGGATACTTGGGTTCCATGGTAACTGTATGTTTAACTTTTTGAGGAACTGCCAGACTTTTTCCAAAGCAGCCGCACCATTTTATATTCCTACCTGCAGCAATCTATTAGGGTCCCAATTTCTCCACATCCTGACCAACATTTATTACTGTCTTTTTTATTATAGCTTTCCTAATGAGTGCGCAAAGAAGTTTTCTTAATAACTGGTTAAAAAGAAGACATCAGTCAAAGCTCTTGGTTTGTAATTTACCATAGAAAATTACTGCATGCCTTGCATAACCCAATGACGTGCCCACTGGCTTGGAAGTATGTGAGAGATGATTCACATGTTTATTTTGATGTTTCCAAATGAAGAACTTTGTTCTTTTGTAGAAAAAAAATGGCACTTTGGTTGGGACCTGTATCACACATAAGTTTAATGTGAATCCCAACCTTTCATAATCTCCAGCTCCTCTATGAATAATACATGTAAATGTAAGCTTTGTCCAAACGATTTAAATTATGTTTCTCATAAAGTTTTCAGGAGCATTTTTTTGGGAGTTTAAGTCTTTTTTTTTCATCTGCATCATTTTACATGTTTACAGTGAGAATAGAATAAATTGCAGTGCCCCTGATTATTGATGCTTAAGAATTAATTTAATAAAGCAACATTAGTGACCATTTTTTTTTTTTTTTTGCAGGAACTGAATGTGACATAGTGAACAGGAATTAGAAGAAAACCAGTACTCAGGAGAGTGGAGTTCTAACTGCAGGTCTGCCTCTAATATTTTATAATTCTGAGTAGGTTGTTGGTTTTACCACATTAGCTTCCCCATCTCTAAATGGGGTGCCAGCTTCCTCTGTTTCTTATTTTACAGAGCTGTTGGATGGGAAGAAAGGCAGTGTATACAGATGCACCTTGGAAAAGATGTGGCACTGTGAAAGTGTGCTGCAAAATCAAATTGAGGTTGAATTATTAGGAGAGTAAATAGCAACCATGTGCTAGTGGCTAGGAGGAATAACCAAGCCACAGATGCATCATGGCGTATCGATGTTGGGATAAAACTTGGAGCCCATCCAATGAAATTCCCTCATGTTTATGATGAGAAAGTGTGACATGCCCAATGTCCTTTGAGTGGCCAGGGGCAGGACTGGAATTTGACGTGAGCTTGTGTGAAGCTTAGTCCTCTTATGTCTCTTGGAATTTTCATCCAAAGAACACTCTTTCCTTGTGGTGCCACTAAAGCTCAGAATAGCAAACATTTAACCATCCACTGGTACTTTCTCTTCCACATTGACCTTTCTCTTGTACTATTGTTCTTTTGACATAGCCACAAGAGACTGCAAGAGAGGCTGGGAAACATAGTCCACCTGTGGCCCCAGAAAGGAGAGGAAATAGCCTTGGGGAACATCAGCCAGTAGTGACTACAGAGACCCACATGGATGGGATGGTTGAAGCAGTTGGCTGGGAACTCTGCTACACCGCTAAGTCAAATAGTAGGTCATCAGTGCCAGTTTTAGAGTGAAGGAGAAAAAGGGGGGTGATTTGGCTACAGGCATGATTTGCCTTACCCTGAAAGTGCAATAGAGGCTAACATCACCATGTGCAGGATGGAGTTGGGAGAAAGCTTTCTTCCTGGAACACAGGAGACTTTGGGTGGTTTGCATGGAGTCCACTAGCCTCTCCCCATCCATCCTCTACTCCATGCACTCTTACGCACCTAGGAGGCCCGAGGGCCAGCGCAAGGCCATCATATAGTGGCTCTCTGCTGGATATGAGGACTTCCAAAACTCAAACTCAGTTCTGCCACTGGGGGATGGTGATGGCAGAAGTGAACATTTTTCCTTCAGAGCGGGATGTGTTTTCCTCTCAGGCGAATCCTGTTCTGAGATTGGGGGACCTTTTTCCCCTCTTGATTGAGTGCAGATATGAGACTCAAGCTGATATTTAATTACTCTTTACCTTTGAAATTCCTTAATATAGTAACTATTTGCAGAGTACACCCACATTCTTGTTAAATGCAGTTATCATTTTCTCCAGCTAGCTTCATCCCCAGAATGATCTCTTTCTTTGTAGCTTTCCTATGTCCTAGGCATCTTCACTCTTCCCAAATCTCTTTGAGTGCACCTGTCCTGGACCGGTATCCACAGTGTGAAGGGTTTTGGCTTTGTACACTGTGGACCCTGATTTACGGGTCACGTTTGAATTTACCTATTTTAAAATTTCACATTCCTTATGGTAATAGTAATAGTATTTTAGGTCCACTGATTTATTTTCCTGTGGCTTTCTATGTCTTTCTAGATAAACTGACACTAGGTTGCTTAATTTTTATAGGTGAACTTGAAAAAGGTCAATACTTCTAGGATAAAAAAATCCCTCAAAACTGCCTTTTCTTAGATAAAGTATGTGTGGTTTGTGCGTGTGTGCATGCATTTGGTAGATGGAACAGAGTAAAGAACACAGGAGACATCAAAGAAACAACTCCTAGATGATATGTCAGAGACAGATTGCCTTTGAAAGAGCAAGGTGAGTCGTATCCTTTCTAGAGTTCAGTAACACTAGAGTTCAGTAGAGATCCCTAGGGTCTTAGCAAGGAAGCTTCCACTTTCCCATTACTTTAGTTTCTCTTTGGGGACTAATTATAGCAAGGATGGCTTTAGTGCATTCATTAAGAGAGCAGGGCAAAACAGTTGGCTTCTCTGCCAAAGCCCCCTCCTGCAGCTGTTCTTGATGTGTTACAGTGGCCAAGTAGCATGCATTCCTGTGAGTTGCAGGGCAATGGTGGGGAAAGGATCCATAGGCTATCTTCCATTCCCTGTTCAGTGAATAGATTCTATGTTGTATTTGATGACAGAAATAGCCTAGCAACCTGGTGTCAATCCAGTCATGATGGGGAAGCATGACAGAATCCTGTGCAGAATCCTGGTGGCAGGTGTTTCTGTTGCATTATCATTGTGCCTTTAAAATGTTTGATGTGTTTCCCTTTAGAGTTGCTTTGATCCCTTCAGGAAAGGGGCGCCATCCTAAATTCCCTCAGAGCCATGACTCCTCTCATACCTTAAGGGGTATGTATGTACCCCAGTTAATATGCCCCTGTTATTCCTGCTACAAGCATGGATGACAGCACAACTCCTGACCTGAAAAGCCAGCTATCCACTTTTCACTACTAGGAAGAAAAAAGCTACAAATCATGCCACAATGATAGGTCTGGGGGCAGTTCCCCATCGGAATGTCATGTTATCAAAAGCTCAGGGTATATGTCAGTATGGAGCGGGAGCAAGTAAAGTCCTCGAAAAAGAAGCAGTTGACCTTTGTTACCTTCCCTGTCACATCCCATCCCACACAGGACTGCTGGGAGAGCACTTCTAAGTCATTCTCAGATGTCAAGCAGCATTTCAGATGCACTCTGGGGCCAAATGCGTCTCCTTGGCTGCTGATATTTTTGTTGCCTTCACACATAGATTCATTTGGCTCCAAACATTACTTCAGTGATAGTATAACTGTACTATCATGATTATTTATTCTTTGGGAACACAAGGAATGATTTTCAAATATTTATGATGGAATTGGACTTAATGCCTCATAATTTATATGATAGTGATTTTGAGTAAAAGCTATATGTTAACAAGTATTTAATAATTTCACAGTGTAGTCCACAGATAATCTTTTGTTGGTACTCTTTTCAGTTTGAATTTTCCTGGAAAAAGATCCTGAGATCGAAATTTAGTGCAACTAGGTTTTGGGGGAGCTGGTCTTCTCAGAAAACACTGGGTGACAAGGGGGAAAACAAGACAGGAAAGAGAGGGCACCCACCAAAGGGTCTGTCATCAAGCAGGTTCCACTGAGGGTAAATGGAGCTTATGGCCTCACAGGAATTCTGGGAGTCAGGGTAGAGCATGCACATAGCCAAGGAGCAAAGGAGCTTGGGCATTGATACACCAGCTTCCATCTGCCATTGGTGGAAGGCTGCTGGGGAGTGGAGCTTAATTCCCTAGCTCTTCAGGTCTGCAGGTGCACATTTCAGTCACTGAAAATGTTCCTTCAAGCCTAGTGGGGGCCTGGGCTTGACCTCCCTAAATCAACAGGAAACTGGTGGGTTAGCAACAACATTCTCTAGTAGTCACATTGCCAGGACTGGTGTCTTGGTGAGGACTGCCCCCATTTCCCACCAAAGGTGTGGAGGAGACAAAAGACTGTCCATAGAAGCAGTGCACAACCCTCAGGTGATGAGAAGTCAGGCAGTTAGCTAGCCACTCATAGGCTAAGGGGCTACAAATGGGACACAAGTAGCATCTACTACAACCCCTTATAATACAGCCCTAAATTTAAAGTTTTTAGAAAGTAGGAGAAGTGTTGAACAAGTCAAAGAATGACTTGTTTTTATAAGACAGACTACAAATAGAAGTAGGAACTCTGCAAATGGATTTATAATGACTGGAGTGTTTGGAAAAGGCTCCTCAAGGAAGGGACATTTGTCTTGTGCTTTGAATGAGACAAAGACTTTTTTTTTCTGATTCAATACTGTATATTTTATTGGATTATAACATGCCTACATAGTAAGTACTTGATAAATGTGCTGAATGACCAAATGACTCCCAGGATGAACTAATCAGCTGAAAGTCCAAACATAGGGGATTGGGCTGGTAAGTCACCTAGGCTTTGACTCAGACAGCTACATATGAAAGTTTGGTTGGAATAAGAAGTCCATATATTACATTTCTATGGAATAAGTAAACCCCTCTCTAGGTCCTATTTCTACCATAATCACAGCAATCAGATAAAGTCGAGGAGTTTATTAGGGAAATTTGAGAGGCACAGACACCCCAAGTGACAGAAAGAAACATCTGAAAATGTTCCTTCAAGCCTAGTGGGGGCCTGGCCTTGACCTCTCCAAATCAACAGGAAACTGGTGGGTTAGCAACAACATTCTCTGGTAGTCACATTGCCAGGGCATGAGTGTCTTGGCTAGGACTGCCCCCTACTTCCCACCAAAGATGTGGAGGAAACAAAGACTGTTCATAGAAGCAATGAGAACTTTAAAGAAAGTCTGAGAGAGAAAGGAAAGACAGGGGTGGGCAGGACCTTCACAAAGGGTCCCATGCATTTGACTGTGAATGTCTCAAATACATTGACAAGTAGATCTACAAAATGTTACTGGAAAGGAAAAATACCTAATGTTGTTTCCAAGAGTTCCTCTAGACTTCTCACATACCACATCGCATCCTCAGATGTACATGAAAGAACCCAAAGGAACCCAAAGGCCACACTTTTGAAAAAAGAAAAACAACAATAAGCCCTGTTGCTCTTTAAGGAGAAAGGAAGGAGCTGAAGGCTGCTGGGTCCTTTCTCACATGGCCTGTGCTCTGTAAAGCAACTTCCCACCAGCAGCATGGCACTGTGCTAGGTGAGTATCTCACCTTTTGTCACCCATGTTTCAATGTACTCTATTCTCTGTTCAAGGGCTGTCAATTTCTCCCTTAGTGTTGCAAATCTTGAACAAGACATTCAAACGAGTTGAGAAAGTCTGCAATTTTCTTGATGCTGCTGGTGATTTTCTCAATGTACTCCCAGTTCGTCCAGTCTTACTGAATCTCCTGCTGTACCAGATCCTCTTGTCCCATCATGGCGAATATCTGAGGAAGACTGAAGCAAAGGCTTTGGATCTGTGAAGGGAAGAAAGAGAAAATTCCAGGCAGGAGAAATGGCAAGAGCAAGGAAAGGAAAATGAGTGGAGATCTCCTGATTTCTTACTGGGAAATATTAATAACTTTCCAAGGGTTTTCTGTGTTTCAGTATGTCTTATTTTATTCCAGGCTCTCTTTTCAAGGGTGTTTATGTCCATTACAGTTTGGGAGATGAGATAGTGTCTCGTCTAGAGCATGCAGCAGATTTGTTTGCTTACTCTGCAGTATTATAGAGATAATGCCTCTCTCTAGGGCAAAGATCAGGCAGGTGTACTGCCTAGTATAAAATATTCAAGTTCTCTCTCCTATAATGTAATGCGCTGTGTGTGCAGGGGTCTCAATGGCCTTTGCATTTCATCTTGTCAATTGGAGATTGGGAAATAGGCTTAACTGATGATACTCTGGCTGCTGATACCGCTGTGAGTAGTAGAGTCATTTGTCTCTGACTCAGGAGTTTCGTGTCTTCTGCCAGCAACCCTGAATCTGAGGCAAGCTAGCTTGTTTGCTAAAATTTCAGACCCTTCACAGTGGTTGACACTTCTAAGTATGATGGTCAAATAAATGATCTCATTCAAGCCTTACATCATCCCCATGAAGTAGGAATTACTATTGTTTCATGTTTTATATCTAAGGAACTTGAGATCCTGAAAGATTAAATAATGTGCCTGAAGTCACTGAGTTGGTAAACAAAGAAGCTAATGTCCAAAAATGGGGTATTCTGGCTTCAAAACTGTGTTTTTTTCACCACCCTAGCAGCCATCCAGTGATACCATCGTTGGAGACACCCATTTGCAGGTGAGGGTGGTGGATGTTGTAGCAAGGTGATCACCAACCCTGGTTGTAAGGGCTGTCTTGGGTAGAGGATGGCATGGAAGGGAAGATATGATGGAATGGGCCAGGTCAAAGATAGCTTAGAATGACATATAACAGCCATAGAGGAGCAGCAGGAATTTATTTAGTGAAATTACGTAATTTAAAAGAAGTACTGATACTTAATCTTATTTCTGAGTTGTCACTATGTTCTTCCTCTTTGTTCATCAGTCCAGGACTTAAATGATGAATAGGCTCTGTGCAGGTAGGAAGGGTGAAGGGGGTACATTTCAGGTGAGGAAGACAGCATTAGGAGGAAAAGAGTGGTTTGGTTCTTTCAGAGGTTGCAAATCTGTCTCTTTCTTGGTATCCTTCCATCCATCCATCTATCCAATCTGTCTATTTATCTATGTAATCTATCAATATATCTAGCTATCTACTTACCTGTATAAAATCTTCAAAGGAACTCATGTCTTATATTGCAAATTAAAACAAAATCATTGGCCGGGCGTGGTGGCTCACACCTGTAATCCCAGCACTTTGGGAGGCCGAGGCGGGTGGATCACGAGGTCAAGAGATCAAGACCATCCTGACTAACATGGCGAAACCCCGTCTCTACTAAAAAATACAAAAATTAGTTGGGCGTGGTGGTGCACGCCTGTAGTCCCAGCTACTTGGGAGGCTGAGGCAGGAAAATTGCTTGAACCCAGGAGGCGGAGATTGCAGTGAGCCGAGATCGCACCATTGTACTCCAGCCTGGCGCCTGGCGACAGAATAAAACTCTGTCTCAAAAACAAACAAACAAAAAAATCATTTTGAGTCCAATTGTGAGAATGTCTACTTTTTCTGTTTTCCCTCTATCAGCTTACTTTTGCTGCTTGCAAACTAACTACAGATACCAATCAGCTATTTACCCATCTTCTCTCTTATTTTTACAGCTGTAAGCAGGCATTTATGTTGTCGTGAACTACACACTGAGTACTGGGTGAGTCAGAACAGGTACTTCTATGTGAGGTTGGGCTCTGTTGTTCACTTTCAATCTAACCCTGCTTCCCTGATTCCACCCTAGGTCCTGTTGACTATCAGGCAAAGAGATTGGTCCTTCCTAATTTTCTTGAGCAGCTCCCTAGGAAAGCAGAAATCTAGAACAACTTTGTTGGTCAGACCCTGAATCTACCTTGGTCCCCAGAACAAAGGGTTTGAAGGATCTTAAATGACTTCTAAACCCTATTAAAAGTAATGGCAAAAACCACAATTACTTTTGCACCAATCTAAAATACAACTCAGACACACACAGATCAAGGGATGCTCATGAATTTCAACTTTTGGAAGGACAGTTAGATCTCATCCAAACTAGACTTGCTGATGGGATTCTAGAACTCATTTCAAACACGGACATAGGAAAACAGGTTCAAAACAAGAGAAAAGCCAAAACCCAATGCAGACAATTTATCAGAGCATAGTGGCCTGGGATAAGAGAGGTGTGTGAGTAAGTCAGTCATTGGATACCAAGAAGGAAATACCTCCTTGAATTTTTCCTTTGGTAATAGAACTGTGTAAAGGATGTCTCTTTTTCTTTGGTGCTCACATAACCATAAGATGTCTCAACAAATAAGACTAGCTTCATTTTTCTCCTCTCCCAGAACACCATCTTTTTCCTTTGCTGTATCAGTGTGACACTGGAGCATCAGGTCAAAGGGAGAAGGAAAACTTCTGGCAGTCATGTTTTGTCTGTGGTGCCAAACATGTAGATACATGGAACTGATCAACATTTTTACTTTTCAACTGATTAACATTTTTACTTTTCATCAGGTTGTTGGATATTGTGTGGACACTTGAAGAAGAATGAAGAATTTAGCCATGATGGATTTATACTAAGATGTAAGTCCTTGCAACTCAAATGCCTCAAAAACCTGCTAACATTTGCGAGATCAGTACTGAGAAGGTAACTTTTTAAAATGATGAGAAGTATTGGAAATATTTGAGACTAACACAAATACTTTAAATCTAGTGCTAAGGAATAATATCCTCTATTTTATGAACAAAAGTTAAAAGAGAAGTATGATCACATATTCAGCAATGTTTCAAAAAGCATGATTTAGTTTAAATGAAAACATTGATAAGCATAATTGTCTGTTTAAATATTAACATATTTCAAGAATTATCTAATGTTAAATTTATATTGCCAGTGTAAATATAGATACAAACAGAGAATACATGAAAGGATTGTTCTTACAATATAACTGAATGTCATAAATTGACATTTTAAAACCATTTATTCACCCTTATGATTACTGATAATCATTATATCTTAATCACATCTTATGTGTTGTCTTTTAATAATGTTTATTCAAATATCTCTTGATTAATCACTCCTGAGTGACCTAAAACCACTGATTTTCATCAGCCAATTTGTCTTCTTTGCAAAAAAGAGCAGAAATATTTCTAACACTTTGGAATGCTATTTAAAGTTTGATTAAAGTCTAAAAGCCAGACAAATCATAGTTTCTCAAGTGGATCCAACATAATTTATTAATTTGCAATTTTAGAATCATTAAATTATTAAAATTGGTAGTTTAAAGCTCACTATAGGATATGGTCACTTAGCAGATTTATGTTTGTTTTTTTTGAGATGGAGTCTTGCTGTCACCCAGGCTGGAGTGCAATGGAGTGATCTCAGCTCACTGCAACCTCTGTCTCCTGGGTTCAAGGGATTCTCCTGCCTCAGCCTCCTGAGTAGCTGGGATTACAGGTATGTGTCACCACATCCAGTTAATTTTTGTATTTTTAGTAGAGATGGGGTTTTGCCATGTTGGCCAGTCTTGTTTCGAACTTCCGGCCTCAGGTGATCTGCCCACCTTGGCCTCCTGAAGTGTTGGGATTGCAGGCATGAGCCACTGCCCCCGGCCAGCAGATTTAGTTTCAACCAAACAACTATTCCCTTTGGACACAGCACATAAATATTATTGAGCCCCTGCTCTGTGCCTTATGCTACCCTAGTTAAGAAACAAAATGATTGTGAAGTAAAATTTTAAAAAATGGAATAACAGGACAGTAATGTATGCAGTGCTGTAGTGCTAAATTGTACCATTTGACCTCTCAGATTAGAATATATTGCACATTAATTATTATTAATATTAGTTATTATATTATTGATAATATTGCACATTGATACTGGGGCTGTCAACCAAGGGCCATTTAATCCTCCAGGGGCTACTTGGCAGTTCTTGGAGACATTTATGTTTGCCACAATTAGGAAGGGTGCTGCTGGAATCCAGTGGGTAGAGGCCAGGGACACTGCTTAACTTCCTGTAATACACAGGACAGCTTCCTCTCACTCAACAAAGAATTATCCTGCAAAAATATCAGTAGCGCTGAGGGTGAGAAACCCTGGGCTAGGTGGAAGGAAAGAAGGTAGACATTCTAGGCAGGGAAGAAGTTTGGATTCTGAGAATAAAATGATCCTGAGTGACCATAGGGCCAGTCAGGAGACTTTCTGGTTTTGGAGAAATGTGGAGAAATAGAAGTAAGATCAGAAAGCAGATGGGTCATTAGTAGAGACATTTTAATTTCTTATTTGACTTAATTTTGACTTTAGTTTTGGCAACATAATGCAGTAGATATCAAAAATTCCTTATTAAAAAACCTGAGTAGGATGGATAAATAAATAACAAATATTTTTTAAGGCAGGTGTTTTAGTCCGTTTGGTGCTCCTATAGCAGAATACCACAGGCTAGGTAGTTTATAAAGAGCAGAAATGTGTTTCTTACAGTTCTGGAGGCTGGGAAGTCCAAGACCAAGGTGCTGGCGTCTTATGTGGGCCTTCTTAGTTTGTCATCACATGGTGGAAGGTGGAAAAGCAAGAGAGGAAGTCTGTCTTCATATGGCAGAGAGTGGAAGAGTGAACCCACTCCCTAAAGCAGCCCTCTTTTTTAAGCATGATTTTTTTTGTTTTTTTTACTTTTAGTTTAGGTTCAGGGGTACATGTGCAAATTTGTTATATAGGTAAATTGCATGTCATGGGGGTTTGGGGTAAAAAGTTACTTCATCACCCGGGTAATAAGCATAGTACCTGATAGGTAGTTTTTCAATCCTTTCCTTCCTCTCATCTTCCATCCTCAAGTAGGCCCTGGTGTCTACTTATTATTTTTTTTTCTGAGGCAGGATCTTGCTCTGTCACCCAGGCTGGAGAGCAGTGCCACAATCTCAGCTCACGGTAACCTCTGCCTCCCAGGTTCAAGTGATTCTCATGCCTCAGCCCTACAAGTAGCTGGTACTACAGGCATGCGCCACCAAGCCCAGCTGATTTTTGTATTTTTAGAAGAGACAGGGTTTTGCCATGTTGGCAAGGCTGGTCTTGAACTCCTGATCTCAGATGATCTACCCACCTCGGCCTCCCAAAGTGTTGGGATTACAGGCATGGGCCACTCTGCCCGGCTCCTGGTGCCTATTATTCCCTTCTTTGTGTCCATGTGTTCTCGTCATTTAGCTTCCACTTATAAGTGAGAACATGCCGTATTTGGTTTTCTCTTCCTGCATTAATTCACTTAGAATAATGGCCTCCAGCTCCAATCATGTTGCTGCAAAGGACATCATCTCTTTTTTTTAAATGATTTTATTGTATTCCATGGTGTCTATTTTCTTTATCCAGTCTACTGTTGATGGGCATTTAGGTTAATTCCACGTCTTTGCTATTGTGAATAGTGCTGCAATGAACATACACATGCATTTGTCTTTATGGTAGAATGATTTGTATTCCTTTGGGAATATGCCCAATAATGGGATTCTTGGGTCAAACTGTAATTCTGTTTTAGGTTCTTTGAGAAATTGCCACACTGCTTTCCACAATAGCCAAACTAATTTACATTCACACCAGCAGTATATAAGTGTTCCCTTTTCTCTGTAACCTTGCCAGAATCTATTTTTTTACTTTTTATTTATTTATTTTTTGAGACAGAGTCTTGCTCTGTAGCCCAGTCTAGAGTGCACTGGCATGATCTTGGCTCACTGCAACCTCTGCCTCCCAGGTTCAAGTAATTCTCCTGCCTCAGCCTCCCAAGTAGCTGGTACTACAGGCATGTGCCACCACACCCAGCTAATTTTTGTGTTTTTAGTAGAGATAGGGTATCACCATGTTGGCCAGGCTTGTCTCGAACTCATGAGCTCATGTGATCCGCCTGCCTTGGCCTCCTGGAGTGCTGGAATTACAGGCCTGAGCCACTGCACCTGGCCAGCATCTGTTTTTTTTTGTGTGACTTTTTAATAGTAGCCATTCTTACTGGTGTGAGATGGTATCTCATTGTGGTTTTGATTTGCATTTCTCTAATGATTAGTGATGTTGAGCATTTTTTTTCATATGTTTATTGCCTGCCTGCATGTATATCTTCTTTTGGAGTGTCTGTTCATGTCCTTTGCCCATTTTTTAATAGGCTTGTTGGGTTTTTGCTTGTTAATATGTTTAGGTTTTTTATAGATTCTGGATATTAGACTTTCGCCGGATGGATAGTTTGCAAATATTTTCTCCCATTCTGTAGATTGTCTGTTTACTTTGTTGATTGTTTCTTTTGTTATGTCTAAGCTCTTTAGTTTAATTAGATCCTATTTGTCAATTTTTGTTTTTGCTGCAATTGCTTTTGCCAAAACCCTTTTTATAGCAGCATTAATCCACTCATGAGGGTGGAGCTCCCCATGACCTAAACACCTTCTGACAGTTCCCTCCCCCAGACACTGTTGCATTGAGGATTAAGTTTCCAGCCTCTTTATTTTGGGGGACACATTCAGACATAGCAGCAGGGCTCAGCTGACAAGAAATGCTCAGAGTTCAAAACCAGTAAGATAGCAAGGTAAGTTGGTTAGTGACAAAAAGTATGAGTGGTTCTGAGCAAAATGACTATAAGACAATTCTTTGATGACATCAGATTGTAGGAGTTCAAGGAGAAAGTGGATGTACAGTTCAGAGGATTGACAATAAAAGAAGAATACTGTTTTCTTGACACTTATACAACTTCTGATACCAATGTGTGGGTTTTTTCCTCTGCACCAACCAATTCTCCAATTCTTGGTGGACACTGATGGGGTGTTTTATTACTTTCTCTATTATAACACTAACTGCCTGTAGTTGGCACAGACCCCACAGGTTAAGGGCTGAGTTCCATAAGACTTTCCCTGACATCAGATGACAATTACAAGCCCCAGGTTGTCACCTGTGCGTCTGACCCTGGCTATAAAATGGAGGTTCCTCTAATCACCTCCTCATGTTTGATAATTTAATATAATGGCTCACAACACTCAGGGAAACATTTACTTATGTTTACTGGTTTATAATAAAGCATATTACAAAGGATACAAATGAACAGCCAGAAGGAAGAGATGCACAAGGCGAGGTGTAGGGGAGGGGAGTGGAGCTTTGTGCTCTCTCCAGGAGTGCCGCTCTCCCAGCTCTTCTATGTCTTCACTAGCCCAGAATCTCTCCTAATCCTTTAGTTTAAGGGTTTGTAGGGAGGCTTCATCATGTAAGCATGATTATTAACTCACTCTCCAGTCCCTCTCCTCTCTCAGGGTCAACTGCATGTCAATACATTAACCACATAAGGCAGTTTCTATTTTTTTCCCATTTAACAGATGGAAAAACTGAGTCTTACAAGTAGCTTGCATCTGAAGTAACAGTGAGTGGCATATGGATGTTTTCCATGTAGCAGAGATAGGATTCAACTCAACCCCACTTCTCAGTATTGAACTCTAGGTTTTAAGACTCAGCTGTCGACTGTTGCTTTGCTCGTTTGACAATGAATGTTTTAAAAGAAATTATCAGAGGACATTTTGTGCACAATAAGCATTTCAATGGAGCCCTGAGTTAACACAGGATGAATCATGGTCAGGAGAAAGATTACCTGATTATTTTTTTCTCTTTCTGAAGGTTTTCATTTTGTCGAATCATCAGGCTGAAAGAATCATATTGCTTTCCCAAAATCAATTCACATAATAACTTGGAAAATAGCTTTTACAAATGCTGCTCATTGTAAAATACATGATTTCCTTCCTTTGAAAACTCCCCTTTGGTCTTGCTCTTTGCACTGTGCATCAGGCGATGCTTGGCATTGCTGGAGTAAGATGCATTCGGGGCCCAGGGCTCCATGCACATTCTGAGGATGTTGTGGCTTAGTCACGCCTGTTTAATCAGGCAATCATTTTCCTGATGAGCTGTGAGAATTGCTAAGAGCAGAGCTATGTGATGGATTGGAGAGAGTTGCATTGTTCTTCAGACAAATGGCAAACATATATTTTTACAACTGGGTAATAAAAATGGTAATAATCAGACAGAAAAGAGGAATATAGCCTATTCAGGCAAAATCATTTTTAAAAGCTTACAATAATATAAATAAAAGCCTATTTTTCCCATGGCATTTTTTATATCTCAGCAATGAGAAGGTTTAGCTTCTCTCAGAGAGTAGTGAGGACAGTGTCATGACGTGAAAATTATCCCTTACAAATAAAGGTACAATGGGCAGAGGTTTTTCCGAGCTCTCTAACAGAGAGGAGACACCTATTAGTCAGGGAAGCTAAAGGCTTCTCTTAGTACATCCACCCACCCCATGGACAAAGCCTTAGCTTCTTGTGAACTTGCCTTCCTTAGTTATAAAATGTCCTGAGTAGTGTTTGCTCCTGCCTCTGTGATTCGGAAGGTCAGATGGGAGTGCTTTGATGATGATGATGATGATAGCAACAATATCATCACCAGCATTTTGCCATGTTATTTTCACAATGGTGTATGGCAGAGTTCAGTAAACTAACAGACAGTGGGGCTGTTACCTATTTCTGTAAATAAAACTTTATTGGAACATAGTCACACCAGTTGTTTTGTACTGTCCATGTCCGCTTTCACATGACCACAGCAGAGTGGAATAGTTGTGAGAGAGACCCTGGGGCTCCCAAAGCCCAATGTTAAACACAATGTTAAACACCAAATTACTCCTTACAAAAAAAGTTTGTCTCTATAGGAGGCCAGGTAGATGTCTGGATTTCCTAGATAAGTTCAGAAAAGTTTACTCACTTCTTCAGGATCTGGCAGGTGGGAAGTATTGATATCTAATCTCAAATTTAGCTACCTAGTGATTCTTAGTTGTGTGTGTATGTATGCATGCATGTTTTATTATGGTCTCCTTTGACAGAAAAAAAAGACGGTATTCATTGTCTCATCTCTACTACCGACTCTTACTTTCCAGTAGTAAGCAAACCAACAGGCAACCCTACTCCTCCCTAAAAACCGATCACTGGGTGCCAATAGTGAGAATATTTTGGGGGATTATGTGCATGTCTGCTACAGCCATCAGAATTTGAATGATTCCCATTGGAATCATGGTATATAAATACAACTTAAAACCAAATCATTGGAAAATTATAGGGCAGAATATGATTGATTATATTGTCCTTGGGTCCATTGAATGACTCTCAGTAAACAAAATTGATAATGATGAAGCCAGTTATAAAATATAAATCATCAAAGTTGAGAGTAACAACAATTGAAACCATCCCACAATCAAGACAATGCTGATGATGCTGTGGTAACAAGCACCCTTCCTATAGTCTAGGAGATACCAAGTACCTGTAGGCATGAGATGTAAGTATTTTGTGATATTGCCATGGGTTGTTTGGCAGCAGACTCTGAGTAGAAAACTGAATTAGAGGCTTCCATAAAATCAAGTAATGTGCTAATTTTAGTTTGGTAACTCTTAATAACTCAATTACTAGTTGTAGCCCTTAGTCATACATTAGAAAATGAAAGTCTATAAAATTGCACATAATTTGCTTTGATAACATTGCATTTCTGGATCTCCCACCAGGAGGCACTTCAGTTGACTTTAGTGGATTGCAGATGACACTTTGATGATACGCCATAGAATCCAAATTTCTAAGGAAGCTGACTTAGAAGCCGTGGAAAATGGCATCAGTCAATTCTTCTTTCACCTTCTAGGTGATATTTATTGAGGCTTTCCAGTGACAAGACATGGTTACATCCTAATAGCACGTTTTTCTTTAACAGTCAGGATCTTGCTCTTTCACCCAGGCTGGAGTAGTGGTGTGATCATAGCTAACTGCAGCCTCAAACTCCTGGGCTCAAGCTATACTCCTGCCTCAGCCTCCCAAGTAGCTGGGACTACAGGCATGCGCAACCACAGCCAGCTAATTTTTTAAAATGTTTCTGGGGACATGGGGTCTGGCTATGTTGCCCATGCTGATCTGAAACTCTTGGTCTCAGGGATCCTCCCATCTCAGCCTCCCAAAGTACTGGGATTGCAGGTGTGAGCCACTACATCCATCCCCTAGCAGTACTATTATTTGGACTTTGTGGTTGAGCAAATAAAGGCAGAGAAAGGATAAATACATGCCCGAAGTCAAACTGCTGTTAAATAGCAGAGCAAGGGTTTGAACCTAGGGTTTCCCTCAGGAGCTGTGCTCTATGTCCCTGGAATCCTGAAATCCACTGGACTCATAAAGCTCTTGAACCTCTGACATTGCTACCAGAATTGTGTATGTAGGGGTATTGCTATGGTTTGAATGAAGGTGTCCCCTTTAAAATTTAAGTTTGAAACTTAATCCCCAATACAAAGGTATTAAGAGGGGTGGCTTTTGGGAAGTAAGTCACGAGGGCTTCACCCTCATGGACAAGATTAGCACCCTTTTAAAGGGCTCAAGGTTGAAGAAGCACTGTTTTGCTCTTCCATCCTTTCTGACATGTAAGGACACAGTGAACCTCCCCTCCAAAGGGTACAGCAACAAGGCACCATCTTGGAAGCAGAGAGCAGCCCTCACCAGATGCTGAACCTATTGGTGCCTTGATCTTGGACTCCCCAGCCTCCAGAACCATAAGAATAAACTTGTGTTATTTATAAATTACCTAGTCTCAGGTATGCTGTTATAGAAGCACAGGTGGACTAAGCCAGTATTTATGGTCTTGTTTTTGTTTAAACCTTTTCAAATAGAGTTATAGCTTACGTCATATTCTCAAAGGAGTACATCACCCTAAAAAGGTAAAAAAAAAAAAACACTATATGAGAGAGATTTTACTCAAAGTTTTTGGAACAAAAGAGATGGCAAATAAACAAGGAATAATTTGAAGGGTCACGTCCTTCTAGACAGTCCAGATGTCACAAGAACAAGCTTTGAGGGAGGAAAAATGATTCATGGAGATGGTGTTTATCAATGATTTCACCTTTAAATAAAAAGGAAGTTTAAAGTGTGATCAGCAAAACTTAAAACAGTGAGATATAGAAATACAGAAAAATGCACTGGCTTATTTTTCCATTAATTTAGCACTTCCAAATGGGAGAAAAATTAGAATGCCTGAAACCTAGCTGAATTGTTAAGGAAATGAAATTCTAAGGCATTATTTTTACACTCTTTTCATGGTTTTTGTTTCTCCACATTGTCATTGCGTTATGAATTTCATAGTTATTCAGGTTTATCTTTCCTAAAGAAAAATTATAAGATTTTTTTTGTGCCACATGTAATACAAACCTGTTCTAGTTCCTTGGGAATTGCTTGTTTTTTTTTTTTTTTTTTTTAAAGTGAAAGAATCTTTATGTTTCTAGAACTGGAAAGGATCACAGAAGTCTTTGATTGATGACTCCACTCTTCAAGGTGATGGATATGTTAATTAGCTTTATGGTGGCAAATGTTTCATAATGTATATCAAAACATCACATTGTATACCTTAAATATATACACTTTTTATTTGTCAATTATACCTCAAGAAAGCTGGAAAAATTTATTTTTAAATTTACATAATGTAAAATCTGCTTTTGGTGGTATACAATTCTGTAGGTTTAAAAAATGCATAGATTCATGTATCCAACACCACAATGATGACACAGAGCAGTTCCAGCATCTCCTAAAATTTCCTTATGCTCCCGCTTTTTAGTCAGCCTCTCTCCCTGCCCCAGAACTTAGCAACCTCTGATCTGTTTTCCATTCCTTCAATTCTGCCTTTTCCCAGAATGTCATATACATGGAATCATGCACTATAGAGGTTTTTGAGGTTGGTTGCTTTCACTCAGCATTGTGCTTTTGAGAGCCACTTAATTTGATGCATGTATCAATCATTTGTTCCTTTTGATGGCTGCATAATATTCCATTGTATGGATGCATAATAGTCCATTGCATGGATGTGCTATAATTGATGAACGTTTGGGTTGCTTCTAGCTTTTGGAGAATAAGAGTAAAACTGCTGTAAACATTTATGTACAGGTTTTTCTGTAAATGTCCTTTTTTACTTATCTTGGATAAATACCTAGGAGTGGTATTGCTGAGTATGTGGCATTGGTTAAGTGTATGTTTAACTTTATAAGAAACTGCTAAACTGTTTTCTAAGTGGTTGTGCCATTTTGCATTTTGTATACCAGCAATGCATGAAATTTCTAGTTGCTCCATATACTTTCCAATCTGGTATTGTCAGGTTTTTTAAATTAAAGTTTTAGCCATTCTAATAGATGCACAGTGGTGTCTCACTGTGGTTTTTAGGAATCTGGATATCCCAGATGATTAATGATCTTAAGCATCTTTAGATATTTATTTTTGTTCCTATTGTTGAGTTTTGAGAGTTAAAGATATACATTCTAGATATAAGTCCTTTGTCAGTTTTTCGATTTGCAAATATTTTCTACCCATCTCTGCAGCTTGCCTTTTCTTAATGGTAGTACTCCCATCTTATCTAAGAAGAAATTGATACATCGACAGCTTTTGTTGGCTCTGCCGTAAACTGACTGCATGTGACATTGGCTAAGTCACTTAATTTATTCTGTGCTTCTGTTTCCTATTTCATAAAACAAGTGTGGAACGAGAATATTTCTGAGGTTCTCTCTAGCCAGAATAGTTAATAAGAGACTGGCCCAAGTTCACCCAGTTAATTAGTAACAGTGTTGGACTGGAGCTTGGGTTGCTTCCCACGCTGCTGCCTTCATTTGCGATATAATTATTCTCGATTTCTTAAATCTAATTTTTAAAATTAGGTATTCCATTTACATGCTTCAAAATTTAAAAGTATAAAAGGATATACTGTTAAAAAACCTCCCTGTCACCCTGAACAAGCAATGCATGTTCTAAAGCTTTTAAAAATATCTATGAGCACATTTTTATGTGTTGTGTATATGTGTATGTGTGTTTTCTTTCTCTCCTTTTTAAAGTGAATTATACACTGCAGCTTTCTTTTTTTTTCTGCTGATAGAAATGGAGGCTAAAATTACATGGCAATTCATTTTTTCTATTATTATGTTTGTAGTTGAGGATTTTGTATGGCACTAAAAACCGTTTGTCTTCTGTTGAATTATTTGTTCATATTGTTTTCCTCTTTTTTTTTTTCTATTGGGTTGCTGGCATTGTAGCTATACGCTACTTATCTATTACAGAAATTAACTTTATGAGATCTCACAATCTTCCCCCAGTTTGCCTTCTGTCTTTTGAGTTTGCTTATTGTGGTTTTGTTTGAAGAGTTCTGACGTGTTTGTGGTTGAATTCATCAGTCTGTTATCATGTCTGGCATTTGGGTCATAGTTGAAAGGACTTTTCCCCCTTAGTATTAACAGAAGAATGATCCCGTGGTTTCTTTAATTTATCACTGAAGTCTACATATTTATATATATTTAAATATTTGATCAATTGGGAAGTTATCCTGGCATAAGGTGTGAGACATAGAACCAAATATATTCTTCCAGAAGGCAGCTCATTTCTCTCAAAACTATTACATAATCCCTTTCTTCTCTTCTGACCTGGGTTGCCACTTACAACATACACTAAATTTCCATATGGGATGTTCTATTTCTGAATTTTCTACTACGTTCCATTGATCTTTCTTTCTACTTAAGTTAAATATTAAGGTTTTTTTATGTTTCAGCATGTTACATGCAGGACTAGCCTTCCTTCATTACTGTTTTAATATCTTCAGAATTCTTCCAACATTTTATTATACAAATTTTTAAGCATATGGAAATGTTGAAAGAATTTTACAGTGAACACCCATTACACACTACCTGTATCTATCCATCTATTTGGCCCTCTGTATACTAATCCATCTCAGTTTCTGATGTGTTTCGAAGTAAATTGGAGATACCGGTGAACATTCCACTAAATACTTCAGCATGCACATCATGAAGTAAAGTTTAGTATTTACAGCACTTTTTATTTTCAGCTAAATTTTACATGCAATGAAATGCACAAATCTTAAATGAACGTTCACTGGGTTTGGACAAAAGCATAAGCTTATGTAATGCTTAGCAAAACACAGAATATTAACATCACCCCAGAAGGTTTCCTCATACCTCTTGCCAGTTAATCCCCATGCTCACTCCCTCAGAGCCTACCACTGTTCTAACCCTTTTACCACCATAGATGTAGTTATTTGTTCTAGAACTTTGGTATGCACTCTTTTTGTGGACACCTTCTTTTGTTCACTAAGCATAATATTTTTGCAACTTCTCCGTGTTGTTGCTTTTTATTGGTGAGTGCTATTCCATTACATGACTATACTATGTTTGGTTTCTCTGTGTTCCTATTAATCAATACCTGGGTTGTTTGCAGGTTTTGGCTCTTATGAATGAAGTTGTTATGAACATTCTTGCACAGCTTTTTCTTGTGGTCCCTTATGTTTTGTTTTCCCTTTTCCATGGCCTGGGATGGAGCAAATACCTATGAGTGGCACTGCTGGGTGATATAGTTTGGATATGTGTCCCTGCCCAGATCTCATACCAATTTGTAATCCTCAGTGCTGGAAGTGGGGCCTGGTGGGAGGTGTTTGGATCATGGGGGCGAATCCTCCATATCTGGGTGCTGTCTTCATGATAGTGAGTGAGTTCTCACTGGATCTGGTTGGATATAAGTGTGTGACACCTGCTGCCCCCCCATCCCCTATGCTCTTGCTCTGGCCATGTGTTGTGCATGCTCCTGCTTTACCTTCCGCTGTGAATCAAAGCCCCCTGAGGCCTCCCCAGAAGCAGATGCTGGAGCCATGCTTTCTGTACAGCCTGCAGAACTGTGAGCCAACTAAACCTCCTTTCATATAAATTGCCCAGTTGCAGGTATTTCTTCATAGCAATGCAAGAACACCCTAATACAATGGGTCATGATTTTTAGCTTTTTAAGAAACTCATACTTTTTTCCAAACTAGTCGGACCATCTTACACTCTCACCAGCACGCATGCTTGAGATTCGAGTTGCTCCAATTCCTCAACATCATTTGGTATTGTTAGTCTTCAATTTTTGTCATCTGGTGGGTATATGGTGGTATCACATTGTGGTTTTATTTTGCATTTTCCTGATGACTAATGAGGTTCAACAATTTTCATATGCTTGCTGGTTCTTGGAATATATATATATATATATATATATATATTTTTTTTTTTTTTTTAGGCAGAGTCTCACTCTGTCACCCAGGTTGGAGTGCAATGGCACAATCTAGACTCACTGCACCCTCCACCTCCTGGGTTCAAGGAATTCTCCTGCCTCAGCTTCTCAAGTAGCTGGGACTACAGGCACCCACCACCACACCTGGCTGATTTTTGTAATTTTTACTAGAGACAGGGTTTCACTATGTTAGCCAGGCTGGTCTCGAACTCCTCACCTCATGTAATCCACTCACATCAGTGCTGGGATTACAGGCGTGAGCCACCGTGTCTGACCAATTTATGTTTTATTTCTGGGATTCTGTGTGTGTGTGTGTGTGTGTGTGTGTGTGTGTGGAAAAAAGGCATGACCATATGCCAAGATAGCTGGCTTTTTCCTTTGACCTAGGGTTTTACATATAAATTTCTTTTTTCTTTTCTTTCTTTTTTTCTTTTTTTTTTTTTAATTTGAGACAGAGTCTTACTCTGTCCTCTGGGCTGGAGTACAGTGGTGTGATCTCGGCTCACTGCAAATTCCACTTCCTGGATTCAAGCGATTCTCCTGCCTCAGCCTCCCAACTAGCTGGGATTACACGCACCCACCATCACACCTGGCTAATTTTTGTACTTTTAGTAGAGACCGCTTTTCAACATGTTGGCCAGGTTGGTCTCGAACTCCTGACCTCAGGTGATCTGCCCACCTTGGCCTCCCAAAGTGTTGGGATTACAGGCGTGAGCCACCGCACCTGGCCACGTATAAGTTTTTTTTGTTTCTCAGACAGCAAAGGCTAGTTTTTCAAATTTCTTTGCTAACAACTTAAATTTCTCCTTTTCTGGATACCATAGAGACAGAACAATGCTTGCAAATATAATTCATTTAATTCATTTTTTTCTGCTTCTGGAACCTAATTGGGCGCAGGAGGCTTCCACTAGAGCTGGTTCACCCTGACTTCTATTCTTGCAAACACATGATTAAAGTTGTGTGCCTCTGGCTGTGCCCCTTATATTTGGGAAGCGAGCTTCTGCTACTCTTTGCCAAATCTCCAGCTGCTGCGGGATTCCCGTGGTGTTTGTTTATCTCTGTCTCCTCTGCAACACACCCTGATCAATCTCCACTGACATTTGTAGTCATTTTGACACTTTGAGGTCTGGGGTTTTAACTTTCTTCTTGTTTTGCTAAAAATGAATTAAAGAAAATATTTTTATTCTCCTTTATTGCTTCTGTATTTCCAAGAAGAAATTGGTAGAAATGCTGAGTTTACATTTCATGTGAAAGCTTGAGTCCTACTCGGAAATGTTGGATTGTCCAACATTTCTAACAACACTTAGAAACCAAGTTATTTAGTTTGATTATCTGAGATTTTAATCAGTCTTTTCTTCTTTTTCCAAGAATGATATACTTCCTACTATACTCATTATAACTAGATTGGCTGGTAAAATAAATGGGCTTTAAGATTGGCCTCAATGTTTTTGAAAATTAAGGAATGGTTTTATAACAAAATATTTAAACACCATTATCAGTTACCATTTTGGTACTTAATAACTCTTAGGCATCATGGTATTCTCATTGCCAACATACTTTGTTTTTCTTTCTTAAAAGTATATTTTATTGATACATAATAGTTGTACATATTTTCACACTTAACATTAAAATGCTGACCATACGTTTGCTTGGTGTTTCATTGTTGATGAATACTAGGTGGATGATGTAGTCTCTTTTATATCTGCAGGCAGATGGAGTTATTGTCATGGTGTTTAGGACAAGCTGATTGTGTTAAAGCATGTGACACACCTAATTTCAGAAACCAGAGGGGAAATCACTGCTTATTAAAGTTCAAGGTAAGCCTGTGAAACTCATTGTCTGGCACTTATTTTCTATATCAAAGCATTTGCCAGTGGAGTTAAGGGGAGGCTTACATATTACAGCAACAAAGTCAGAATTCCCTTAAAACTGAAGTTAGAATGAGTGCGGAAGAGCTTTGGTTTTCCATATACCAAATTCATTGTGATAACTCCCTGTGAGCAGAGATTTTAGCCCCTTATTGATCGTCATTCAGCATACTTCTTTGATATTCATTTATCCTCCTACAGATGAGTTGGGGAAAATTCACAGCCTTGTATTTTGTATTTTCCTTCATGGAGGTGACATAGCACTTTGGTGAAAACATTTTTTTTTTCCTTTCAGGTATAAATACTGGTTTTAGTGATGACTCAATCACATTTGGAAGGTATTCCAAGGAAATAGGATTGGGAGTACAGGGAGGAGAAATTTACATCTTATCCCTATGATAAGGCAGGCCCTATGCATATGTTGACTGCAGGATTTGAAGATTATCATGAAGAAATATTCCCCCAACTCCACCATCTGAATGATTGAATCATAGTTACGCTTCTAGGCTTTTGAAGGATTGTGTCTTCAAGAGGCCCTTGTTAAAATGCAAATACCTCCAAAGTGGGTGGCCTTTTAAGCTTATGTGGGCCATTACTCCTCAGTGGGTATTATCATGCCTTGCCAAGATTCTCAGGTAATAGAATTTGAGAACCCAGGGTATAGACAAGTGGACAATGATGCCAAAAGGCAGGAAGGGTACACAAACTAAGAACATCATGAATGGTTTTAACTGGACCCAATGCATGGGATCTAGGTTAGAAAACAGGATTTTCTGGTAATTCAAGACTTGCCCAACTTAGCTGATTCTCTCTCTCAGAATTCCTATTTGTGGCTTTGACCACGCTCATTGGGTAAGACTCTGCACAGTTTAGAGGACAAAAGTGTGGCACATTGGGACGAAAGCAATCCTAGAAGATAGACCTCTGGGAGTTCTTGGTCCACCTTCAACATGCAATGGCCGAGCAGTCTTGAACTCTTGGTAGAGTGGAGATGAATGTACCTCCCGACTAGCCCACAGACTGCTGTTAATATCCTATAAAATAATAAGCAACATGGTATAGCTCTTAGTTTGACCCTTATATTTATAGCTCTACTCTTGGAACCCTCGTCCCAGCCTTGATAGCCAATAATCAATCATCCCAAAGTCAATGCCTCCATGGCATTCATTGTTATATCTATGTACCTTCCTCCCTAGTACTCAAACTCAAAATTGGTGTCATCTTTATTTCCTGTTTCCAATGTTCACTTGGCATGTTGTCTTCTGGACACAGTACTACCACGCTGGTGGTTCATTATTATACATTTAGGTTAATTACATGTTGTCTGGCCATTTCTTCTCTTTCTGATCCACCTCAAGTACACGTCTAAAATGTTCTCCTTATACTTCTCTCTCTTTCCATACCATTCCCTGGCTCCCTGTTGCCTATGGGATAAAGTTCTATGTTCCCATCCTGGTTGTTAAGGCCCATCACAAAGAAGTTTGCCCAGTTGCTACACCCTCCCCAACATAAATGCAAAACCTTGGCAAGTCAGCTCATATGACTGTCTCAGTCACAAGCATCATACTTATTTCAGCTCTGAGCATTAGCTCACTCTGCTTCCCACTTCCATCTCTAGCATAACATGTTTTTTTTGTTGGTTTAAGTTCTACTTGTATTTCCATGCCCAAGTATGGCACTTCACTGATTCTGATTTTGACTGTGAACTCTCATTTGGAATATACCTGTTCATTCTCATGTTTCAATATGTAATATTTTCAATTGTCTGTCCTGCCTTTTAAAGTAGATCTTTAAGAAAGTACCTGTGGCTTTTTCTCTATCATCCAGCCCTGTCCATGTTGTGCTGTGCTTAGAAGGGTTGCTAGTCTAATGAATAATCAGTTTAACAGATTTGTCTAATTTTTATGCTCTTCTCAGTTTTATTCTTCTTAATGAGCAAAATACTGTGCTTGACTCTCCTTGGAAATAGAATATTTCCTTGATGTTGAAAGCCCTGTTTCTGTGCCTTCTAGTTTTTGAATTGTCCACTTGGACAGTTTGCTAAGGGGTCAATTCCTAATCATTTGGGCATAAAGGAAAATGCATCTCCATGCTCCATTTGCTTCATCTCAGCTTGGTTTTATAATCAACAGAAATAGGGAAACTTTAATTTGTACTTCATATATCTTTGATCTGATTACATAACTTGACACTTTTATTTACCTTATATGAATATAGCAAATAGGTGCTTTTTGAATTTAAATGTACTTTTAGATTAACAGCTTATTGGAATGTGGGTTACATGGGTAGAGACAGCACATCATCAAGGAAACAGGAGGAATCCCCAGCCCAGTGTTATCCAAAAGGAAATGCAGGGCAGCCACATATGTATTTTACATTTTCTAGTATACATTAAAACAGTATAAAGTAAGAGATGAAATTAATTTTAATAACATTTTATTTAATCCTTATATCCAACCTATTATTTGAATATAAAATTTCATTATAAAATATTAAGGTATCCTACATTCTTTTTTCACAGTAAGTCTGAAATCTGGCATGTATTTCACTTAGAGTGCATCTCAATGTGAACTGACCACATTTTAAGGGCTTGATAGCCATATGTGGTTGGTGCCTGCCACATTGAATGGCACAGATCTAGAAATTACATCTGTTAACCTATAAGGTAGGACTTCTCAATCATCAACACTACTGAAATTCGGGCCAGGTAATTCTTTGTGGTGGCAGGGGGCTGTCTTCTGTATTGTAGGATGTTTAGCGGCATCCCTGGCTTCTACCCACTAGATGCCAGTAGCACTGCTCTTCAAGGATACAGCAACCAAAGATGTCTCCAGACATTCCCAAATGAGAAGTGCTGCTACAAGGAATAGTCACAGATGTCAAGATAAACTATCTTCTGTTGTGCTTGTTAAAAGTCATTGATAGCCTGAGTGTGGCTGCTCAAACCTAAAATCTCAACACTTTGGGAGGCCAAGGTGGGAGGATCACTTGAGCCCAAGAGTTCAAGACTAGCTTGGGCAACATAGTGAGACCCCATCTCCATAAATAATTAAAAACATAACCAGATGTAGTTCCAGCAACATAGGAGGCTGAGGTGGGACGATGGCTTGAGCTTAAGAGGTCAAGGCTGCAGTGAGCCATGGTCACACCACTGCACTCCAGCCTGGGCAGCAGAGTTGGTTCTGCCTTCTGAAAAAGCCAGTTGGTAGTGATGGATTAGTTATTGATTGGAAGGCACACTGGATTGTTGCAGTCCTCTTGCCAGCTCCTTTCAAAGTGTGTTGGATTATCATATTGAAAGTCCAGGTAAATACTTTAAAGAATAGAAATGCTCTTTCTGAGAATCACTGTCATAGTGAGTTTAATATTCATCAAACTTATTGTAATGCATTGGGAAAATGAATATATTCTTTTTGAGAGAAGGAGGATCATTGGTTTAGTTTTGATTAATGGATTTATGATGAAGTGCTTATTTTTAGTGATGGCACTATATAAACAAGTCTGTCAAATGTAGTCTAGCTCCCTGTCATTCTATACAAAGAACTGTGAAAGACAAATGTACACTGTATTTGTATTAACAGGCAGCCATGGGTTTGCTACAAGCAATTTACTTAAGAATGAGCATTCAGTCATCCTGGAACATTTTATTCTGGAGCTTTGTTAGGGGTGAGCCTGAGAAGGAAAGTTACCAGCTTGAATGAAACAGAATTTCAATTTGGAGTAGTCAGTCTCCTATGGGATGATAATATTCCTTAAATGTTAAAAAATATATCCTGACCCACAAAGGGCTCCAGCTACAATTTCTAGGTTATTTCTGGTCTGTAGAATGCATTTTTTGTGCTACAAAAATCCCAGAGAAAATCAGATGATCTCCAGATGAATGGGCAGATGGTGCAGATTGAGTCAGAGCTCACATGTTTGATTTGAACTTGTAACTCTCCATGAGCAGAGCTTACACTTAGTTTTATTTTTTAAATAGAAAACAAGTGGGGAAAGAGAAAATGTCATCAGGTAGGAGACGTCTACATAGTATGGTTGGTATTAGTATGTCCTGAAGGATGGGCTACAATGTCTAAATCAGTCATCCAGCAGACATTTACTGAGTTTTTGCAGTATACACCTATCTAGAGATTGGGCGTATAAATGTGAGTAAGAAGAACAGGGTCTCTGCTGTCAGAGATTATCATGTGAGAAGAAAGAGAAAAGACAGACAGTTCCTCAGTGTTTAATAGGTGCTATGCTGGCAGAAGTCAGGGGCAGGGAGACCTAAGGGGACACCTGTCATTCTGGGGCCTGGAGACACTTCTAGGATACGGCAGTTTGGAAGAATGAGCAGGAGTTAGCCCAGCATGTGATAGAGGTGGATTTATGGCATAAGGGATGAGAAAAGCGTGGGAGATTACTGTCAGCAGAAAGATGGCATGCTTCAGCATTCAGCAACCCCGGAAGCTTGTTTTGGTGCCTACTGCTACTGCTGAGCGTTGGCTTCAGCCATCCTTGGAGGTCAGCAAAACATTTGCCTTTGAGGCTTTCTGGCATTAAGAATGACAAGAAAGATTTTACTTACTCCTATGAAAGAATGGGCCCATTCAAGGAGGTATTCCTTTAAAATTTATTTGCCACTTTTATGTTTTCCTTCCAAATTTGATAGCTTTAAATGTTTTGAAGAATAAGGACAAAAAAAAGTATTTATGGATGTGTTTCAAAGACTTTAAACTTACCTTTCTCCTGCAAAAATATATTTGTTTTTTTTTTCTAAGAAAGAATGCCCCCAGTCATGACTAAATGAATAGAAAATTCAGTTTCGTTTTTATTTATTTATATTTTTACTAACTTAGAAAATACTGATTTGGCTCATGGTTGATAAATTTAATCAAACATTTAAATTATTAATATTATGCCTATAAGTTTTGAGGTGCATGTGCAGACCATGAAGGTTTCTTACATGG